TGTGGAGAGGAATGGAGGCTTCTAAGGCTTGTACAATAAGCAATTGTAGAAGTGTATCTTAGGTATGGAAATTGTGCTTTAGAAGTGCCTGTTTTGAGCCTGTTTAGAAATGAGCCTCAGTGACTAGCTCAGACATGAATGACTGAGCTAGGGGGTTGAATCTATTCCTGTGGTTTCCATATTTTTCCTTCATTGCTCATTCTTCTTGCCTGTCTCCATAAATGGAGTTTAAACAGGCCAGTTGCTCACACTGCTCCACTTCTGCAAAGCTTGACTTCTTGAGCAAAATCATCCTTTTGTATTTTTTTTGCTAGGTCTCATTGCATTGGGAAAATAAACAAAATGCCCAAAACAAATTACCCCAGCCCCAAACAAGATCATTCAAGCAAACCAGCATGATGTGTCAGCCTGAGAGTTTGTCCTGGAGAGTTGCAACAGCATGGAGACCTTCTTCATATGCAACACTGTGCGTGTTGCTTATGTATACGGAGTAAAGGAAGTATATGGAGTAAAGGAAGGAGTGTATAACTCCTTCCTTTCTGGCTCTGTAGTTCTGACTGTGTTCTGTGTTTCTGGCATGTTGAACATGTTGGTGGTATAGAATCTGACACGAGGGATGAAGCTTCCTCTTTAAGGGGCTTGCTGTTTATCTCTGAAACAATGCTAGTGTTAAATAAAGTGTTTGCAAGTGTTCTTAGAGTTTGAAGAAGAAGCATTCTGCCTGTGGTATGTAATATCCTTATGATTCAAAGTTGTGCTGAGCAGGACAAGCATGTGTTAAGGTTTTGGCCTGTGTTGAAATAAAGTTGTATATCACTTGGACTGCCAAGGTCTTTCCATAGATTGTGAGCTTTTGGTAAAAGCAGGACTGTGTTGGTGGATGTGAAATGTCTGGTGCTACAACCCTTAAGTATGGAGCATTGTGGTGCTGTTTGGATAAACATTTGCTGTTTACTTTCTTAATGTATGGCCTTTTCTTTTTTTTAATGGTAGATCTAACTAGGCTCCTGAGCATAGGCAGACCAGTGCTCAGTGCCCATTCTCAGACTGCACCTGTGCTGCTGAGCTGGGTTGGCCTCATAACCAGGTGTGAAAGCAGAGCTGCTGTTGGATCCTGCTAGTGTGACCGGGCTGATACTTTCAGGGTAATACTTTAGGTGCTTCATCAGGCCTGAGAGCACATTAAAAGTTGTATTTATTTGACATGCGATGCTGACCCTTTCACCTTTCTGAATCCCACCTGCCCTGTGGCAGTGTGTCATGCCAGTCTGCAGGCAAGCAGGAGTTCTAGGGTCATGCCTAGTAAAAAAACCTGTTGTCTGCTACAAGAGTAGATGAAATTCATAAGCATCATTCAGATGGGCTCAGTAGGGAATTTGAACATTGTGTTTGTGTTCTCAAAAGCACCTCAGCTTTCAGGAGGCTCTAGAACCCATCTGCTCAAATATGTGCAGAGGTTGCTGGGATCTGCCAAGTGTTGTGACTGTGTTTACTGAGGTCCCTCTGTGGTAAATGCAGGATTCTGAGTTTATTCTCATGTTAAAAAATTAAATTTTGTCACCTTTGCCTTGAGCCAGGACTTCATCTTTTTGTTTTGCGTCAAGGCACAAGACCAGCCCATACAAACATAAACACCCATGATGGTCTTAATTTTTCATTCATCAGAGCAGGTCGAATAACACAAGAGGGATGCAAAAAGCACATGACCTCATGGTACACTGAAGTCCATCCCTCTTGAACCAATGTGTTGGGGTGCTCTGGGCTGTGGAAATGCCAGATTACTCATTACTGAAAACCCAGAGCAGAGCTTTAAAAGAGGAAAATCTTGGCACCAAACAAACCTAATTTCTTTCCATTGCTTAGTAGTCAGCCTTAGGACAAACTAATCTCTATTGAAATCTTCTGGACTTTCCACTAAATTTGTTGTCTCTTCTAAAAGCATATCTTCTCCCGTGAAGGGAGATGAACAGAAAGTGTGTGTGTGTATTTATATATTAAATTGTAATGCATACTAGAAAACTCTTTATGTTTTATTTAGTAATTCAACATTAACCTTTACATTTGCATCTGTAAATAATACTATAAAAGTGAACTGGGTCAGAGAGACCTTTCAGGAATTTGTTCTGTCATACATCTTTAAGACTCAATCATCTGGCTAAAATTCAAAGTGGATGCCTAGAATAAGTCGGTGAATAAACAAATAAAAGTTATTGAACTGAATGATGTCCTCCTTACTTCTTTATCTGAAATCACCTAAAGGCTGCAAGTTCAATTTAATCCTTCTACCATCAGTCAGTCTGAGCTTTAATAGAAAGAAGGGGGGGAAGTACTTAGTAGCTGGTATCTGTTTTTTAACTTGATTAGAGAGAAGGATGCTCCCTGAATTGAGACACTGTGGGAGAGATGAGTAGTTAGAAAGAGATTGTGCTTCATACCACTGAGCTATCTGTAGCTACTGCTGTTAGGCAGCTGCAAAAGAAAAGGAAATGCTAGGGGCAAAAGATAAAAGAGAATCTAAAGAAATGGATGTATTTTGCTAATCCTTTTCCTCATGGTGAGAATGGTTAATACGTTGCAGAATACAAACAAGGATGCTGGTCTCACTTGCACTTGCTTGTTAACTGAGGCTAAGCTGCCTGGAGCCTGTGATTTGTAGAGCACTGTGGCTCAATCTGCAAGTTGTACCTGCGGTCAGGAAATGGAAAGGAAAGCCAAGTTGTTTGATGCAACTGGTGCAACTCAGTCTGTGTGTAGAGGTCCTTGTACGTGTAAAACCATGTCAAGTAACAGAAGGAGTACAGCTGGCAGGAACCGTGCTAACATCAAGGCAGAGTTGTAGCACTGTTTTAATTCTTGGAGTGTGGGTTTTCAATTATTGTTTCTAAAAATCTGGATGTTCCTTCAGAACAGAAGGAAGGGTGTGATGCTGTTTGGATAAACATTTGCTATTTACCTTCTTGATGTATGTCCTTGGTGTTGACTTCATAAGCCTATCCTCAAACTTGGAGAAGGAATTTTCTTTTCCTGGCTCCTTTAATTAAAAAAAGATAAGAAATGCTTTATTTTGTATCTACAGAGAATTCCTTTTGGGGCAGAGGATTCTCTACTGTATTTTTTTAGACTATCACTGTCATTGGTTGACCAGAAAAGCAGAGGAAGCACAGATAACATGGGCTTTTAGTGCAATATCTTACCTTATCTACTGACAGTGCCAAAGAAATACTGCCAAATAGGACTATTCAGATCATGTCTGATCTCCTGAAGAACATGGGGCCGAAAATCTTTCCTAATATATCTTGGCACAAGCCCAATGATGTCGGTTTGAGTGAAATCTACATAGTTGGAGCCCATTTTGACATGAAGATTGGAGGATGCCTGCTTCCGTCTCTTTTCCCCGATGTGCTTTATTCACTGGCAGCTTGGGCGGTCATTGGCAGAAACTGGACTTCCTGTTGACATAAATGCAAAGGACTGATTCTTTTCTCTTTACACATACCAGTTGCATTAGATACTTGATGGGGTCTGAATTTCAGTTTTTGAGTTTCCTTTTGCTAGCTATACAGTGGTTTGGTTGTGTAGTTGAGTACAAACGTAGTAAGAATTAATCATCTGCCTCAGGCTTTGGACACTGCTCAAACAGCCCTTTCCAATTACCTTTGTAAATTGTTCTATGGTCCAGCTCTGACATGGCTGCTGGATCTCTGTGGTCAAAGATACTGCCCATTCAGGAAAATTTAATATTCAGTGCAAGCACATATAGTTTATCTTCCCAGTCACACTTAGTCATCCATCATAGCTGTGCCATAGTACACATCACTAGGTTGTGAACCCTTCTAATCTGAACATGGACCTGCCTCCCATTTGTAAATCCAGTTACTCAAAAACAAATCATATGCAGAACCTTTATCCAAAAACAAATCATATGCAGAACCTTTACCCAAATGATACCGTTTTCCCACTAAGGACCTACATTTCAATATTACATTTAAGTTTCTCTGCTCGGTTATCTACCTCCTTAGCCTGCAATCAACCCTCATTTTATTGAGCCAGAATTTATTTCAGATTAAATGTATTTGAAATCCTGTTCAAAACACTGCCTGATATTTATTTCTCTGTGATCTACTTGTAAAGCAGAGTAGTAATTTCTCAAAGGGTATTTTTTTTTTCTGAAGAACCAAATTTGCTCAGTTAGAGAAAAGGAGCTTACATATGCTTTGATTATGAGTGAGTGGATTGTGGGTAATAAATTATGTGGAGAATGGTGTTTGTGGTATTAAGCAAACCTATGTTTGAGACTCAGTGTGGAGTTGCATGGAAATTTGATTATATTACAGCTGCACCATTTGTTAGCCAGAAAGACTCAAAAATGATCATTACATTGAAATTTTGCCTTTCAAGAAGAGCCACTTCACTATCTTTAATGTTTAACTAATAAGTAGATTCACTTCTAACTTATCTAAAAATATAGACCTTGTTCCGAACACAAAAGTTGTAAATTAGGAGCAATTTCCTTTTCCACACGTGAGAGAGATGTAATCCACACCATAAAAACGAATCACAGCATGATCTTGAGTATGGAGCCACTACCTACCACATCATAGTCATGTTAACTAATCTAATTTGTATCTCATTCTATTTAGTGTTAGGAATTTACATGTCATCAATCACTTGCTTCCTGTTGGGCTGAAAAAGCCGGGGGACTGCCAGTTATGTCATATGGCAGCTGAAGTGAATGTGTTGACAGCTGAAATCAGGAAGCACCAAAATGTTTGAAGAGGTTTTGGAAGAGCTAACCTGCTTTTGAGTCTCCGGGTCTCAGTCTGGGTTAAATGTGAGGGGGGGAGATTGCCTTATTAGCCTTTCCTCGCAGTGAGGCTGATCGATAACTGTGCAGGACAACCCATTCCTTAACCTGAGCTGATTTTAATACCTTATTTAGTGGCAATCTTTCCTCTTCTTCCTCAGAGTTTATGCTTCCTCTCTTTCTCTCTGTCTTTCAGCTGTACAGCTCCATGGACTTTGGAAGAAAATGGCAGCTCATGCATGAGCGGGTCACGCCAAACAGGTTTTACTGGTGAGTTATGCCCTCAGGCTTTGCTTGCTTTGGACAGGTCATGCAGGTGAGAAGGGCACTTAACTTGAAGGTATTAGTTGTTTTACCTGAACATTAAGTATACCCTCAGTTTTGGTCATCATCAACGTTATTTACTCAGTCCATAGTACATATCTTGCAGTGCTATAGTCTCCATGTTCATATTTCTTTCCTGATAACAGTGGTGTCTTGTACGGACGAGTACAAGTCTTTCAATAATTGCAAAATTCCTGCTTCTTTGTTATATACCTACTTACAGCAACACAGAAAAACTGCCCAGTGCTTCAGTGACAAAGCTATGATCATTAGACCTCCTATTTTTCAACCCTTTTGAGAGCTACTTTAGCCTACAACACAGTCTTTGTGCAGAGCCAGCCACTCTGACCAGTCTCCTTATGCAACCATTGGGAGAAAAGATGATTCAGACTCTGCTTTGAATCACTCTCTGAGGAGCCAGTTTCGTTCTACTGACTGGTGAGAGCCCAGGATCTGCAAACAGTTTGCTAAAAATATGCTTTGTGACTATCTTAATTTCTGCTTCCCAAGGGTCAGCATCCAAAATTGGGAGAGTGTCTTAAAAGCAGATGATTAAACAAATTTAGTTCCTGTCTTTAGGCTCCTCCATTTCAGATGCCGCTTCTCCACCATGTGAAGGCCCAAGAATTGACATTAGAGAGAAAGAGAAAACCCAGCAATATTCTTCTGTAGTTGAATCTAGTATTTGGGGCTTGAATCAGATTCTTCATGCTGTACTTACTACACACCAGATGATGGTGTGTGGGTGAATGTGTGGATTTTGGACAGTATAAGAAGGCTTTTGAACTTCTGGGAAAGGAATTTGTAAGGGTCCTAAGTCACACAGATCTGCAAAACATGTCAAAGATCTAGAACCTTGTCTCACTGTGTTACTGTTTCACATTTCCACAGTGAAGGAAAGGAGGTTATGTTCTCCTGGTTCTGGTGGCAGGTGGTTGATCGACCTAACTATCCAAAATCCTTTGATTTCACTATTCATGCTAGTTGCACATGACAGAGGTGAGTGTAGATCTTCTCCAGGTGTATCGCTCTGTGGAGCAGAATAGCTGGCCCTATGGGATAATTGTACCCTGCCCTTCAAATAGGACAGTTGAGCTTAGGGGAGAGACTTTCTTGGAGTATAAAGTGCAAGGGCTGAGATGACTTGGGAACAAAGTGGAATGCCCTTCTAAAGGAGAGGCTGTGTTGTTGTGGTTTGTTTTCTGCTTTCATATAATAATGGTTAATGGAAATTGCCTGTTTGTCTCTGTCTATTTGACACCCAAACTTGTATATTGGTTTCCACAATCTACCTGATTTTTCATACAGTCTTTTGGCTGCATATTTTGAATGCTGGTTTTTAACACTGTGTTATATAAAACCTCTCTTTCAAGTGTCTCTTTCTTATAGAAAGTGTAGAAGTCTTCTCTAGTTAAAACTCATATGGCATAGACCTAGAAATCTTTATTCCACTCAGAAATAGTAGAACTCCGTTAACAATAAACTTTCCAAGAGAGTGAATTAGGTTTTTCCCAGAGTGAGAGAGATTTGAACCAATTCGTAGTGCAGGGGTCAGAGGTGTTGAGATTTTGGAACATAACTACTCCTCTTTGCTGCCTGATTCTTTCTTTTTTCCTTTCTTTTTAAAGCTGCAAACTGTGATGGCTTAGAAGCTCTAGCTTGTAAGATGTGTACAGAAAAAGAAATGCAAGGAGAACACTTTAGCCTCAGGAATTTGGTGATTTCTTTTTATTAGGCTATGAAAGAGGGAGGAAGTGGGTATAGCTGTAAGTTTCAGAGCAATATGAGCCACTACCCTGTGGAGTTCATCAGTCTATCAAATACTACATTATCAAACCTCTTAATTCAAACTTCCAGGAAAAGTGAAATAATAATGATAGGGAGATGCCAAAATCAGAGGTAAACTGCTCATTTGTGCTGCTCTGCATCGTTTATTAGTAGAGGCTCAGGTAAGCATCCTTCATCAAATGGGACAGTCTTCATCTGATTTGAATGCAGCTGGCTTTATCTGGGGCAGCCTTTGTCAAATGTTTTTGCCTTCAAAGCCTGACTTTCATCTCTCAGGCTGCCATGAATGGGCTTGTGAAGACTATAATCTTTACCTGGTTCATGGGATCAGTCAACCTGACAGGGAGAGGTCTTATTTTTCTCTCTGAGACATTTCCAAATTATACCTTCCCTGAGAGAGCTCAGATGTACAGACTTTAAGGCCAAGAGAAAATTATGATTGCATCAGAACTCATGAAGCTGGGACGTGAATTTCCACTCAGCAGAGGAAGCAAGACCTCTCTGTTAGTCATGGATACAGAAGTCACTTGGTGCATTTTGCTGTAGGTCTAGCAGGCAGCATCTGTGATGGCTCCCCACTGGTCAAAACCAAAGTCCTAAGCTCCAGTCCTGATCTGTGGCTTTGTATCCTGGCTCTTGTCTTCAGCTTCTTTCCTTAGTCCTGGATGTTGGTGCTAATCACTGTGTTGTAGTTTTGTGTTATCATGCCATATGGATGTCACAAGTCCCGCAGTTTATGGGACAATTCTCATCAGTTCCTGAGACCAGCTCAAAGTTTGTGCGTGAGCTGAGACTCACCTCTGGGCCACTCATAGTTATAAAAACTAGGATTTGAGATCTCTACTTCTGTAGTAGTGATTTAATTCGTTAGCTACACCCACTGATGGCAGTGGCAGAGCTTGAACAGAATGTGTTACTTGATGTGAGTACAGGCATTCAAATTTGGCTCCCACGTGCCTTGGCCTCCGAGATTTTAATAACTTAGGATCCTGTAAGGCTGGAAATAGGATCTTACGCTAATGTGATACAGAAATTCCCAGAAACTCATCACTCATCACATCTGAAATTACTCAAAATAACTGGAACCAGGATGTGTGCAAAGTTTGTTAAAGACCTACTCAACGTTCTTTTCTTTTAAAACACATTTCTGCAAATCCCTCTGGGCCCTGTTCATTTTCTCTCACTGTAACTTAGACACCTGTGCTGTCATGTGGAGGGATCTAAAAAATACAGTCCATATTTTGTACTGTAGAAATGTTGGGGAAGTTTCCTCGTCTGTAAAACACATGGTGTTCTGTGCCAACTAAATACTGTCTCTGTTCAGATAAGAACTCAAAGGACTTGGTTTGTTCTTAAGTTGCTTTATGGCCTCTGCCTTTTCCTGTGGTGGGACAAAGGACTAAACAGGTGGGCAGGACAGTTTGCTTAATGGGGGATTCACCAAACCTTGTTCAGCACTTCGCTGGATCACAGATTTAACGTGTCATCTTCACAGAATCACAGAATCACAGA